TCCCTGAGCCCAGGGGTTTGAAACCAGTCTGGGCAACATGGCAGGACCTCATCTCCACAATAAATAAATAAGTAATTAGCAGGCTGAGGGTGCAGTGAACCTGGGCATCCAGTCTGGGTGACAGAGTGAGACTCCAACAAAAAAACAGCTGGGAACCACTCTAAGTTTCCAAACAGGGGAATATTATGATGTCATGTTAGTATTTTAGGGAAGACTAGTGTTGTAGCTATGTGTAGCTGTGGCTTAGACCACAAACTGCTCTGGTGTTCAGGCATAAAGAGGTGAACACTCACTTGACAGTAGGGAAGGACGTGAATGAATCTGACCTCTATTTTAGGAGGTGTGTGTCAAGTGTTTTGAGATCCTTAGAAAGTCTTTCTCAGCCAGGCTCGGTGGCTCAGCCTGTAATCCTGTGCCTTTGGGACTCCAACTCAAAAAAAAAAAAAAAAAAAAGAAAGTCTTTCTCTACAGCTAGCAACTCTGCCTTTGGGACTCCAACTCAAAAAACAAAACAAAACAAAACAGTAGCACAACCAGGAACTCACAGAGGGAAGGTTCCCTTTCTAATGACTGCTGTTCCAGGAACGTTAGCAAAATTGCAAGTGCATTTTAATTTTAATATTTTTTATTTTTTTGAGTCAGAGTCTCATTCTGTCGCTTAGGCTGGAGTGCAGTGGCACAATCACGGCCACTGTGCTTCAACCTGCCGGGCTCAGGCCATCCTTCGGCCTCAGTCTTCCAAGTAGCCAGAACTACCACACCTGGCTAATTTTTCTGTTTTTTTACATTTAGTATAGAGACGAGGTCTTACTATGTTGCCCAAGCTGGTCTTGAACTCCTGGGTTCAGAAAAAAAATTTTTTTTTTTTTGAGTTGAAATCTTACTTTATCGCCCAGGCTAGAGTGCAGTGGCACACTCATGGCCACCATAGCCTCAACCTGCTGGGTTCAGGAGATCCTTCTGCCTCAGCCATTCAAGTAGCTGGAACCACAGGCATGCAACACCACCCCCGGCTAATTTTTGACTTACTGTACCCCTGAGCTCAGGCAATCCTCTTGCCTCTGCTTCCCCAAGTGCTAGGATTATAGATGTGAGCCACCGTGCCTGGCCCAGGAAAATGTATTTTTATTTATTTATTTATTTATTTATTTTTATTTTTTTATTTTTTGAGTTGGAGTCTCACTCTGTCGCCCAGACTGGAGTGCAGTGGCACATTCCCGGCCACCGCAGCCTCAACCTGAGCCTGTTCGGAAAATGTATTTTTAAATTACACATTCAGGCCGGGCTCAGTGGCTCAGCCTGTAATCCCAACACTTTGAGAGGTCAGGCGAGTGGATTGCCTGAGCCTGCAGGTTCGAGACCCGCCCAGGCAAATTGGCCAGACCGCGTCTCTACAGTAAATCAAAAAAATTAGCCGGGCATGGTAGTGTGCGCCTGTAGTTCTGGCTACTTGGTAGGTTGAGACGGAAGGATGGCCAGAGCCCAGTAGGCCGAGGCTGCAGTGGCTGGGACCGTGCCACTGCACTCCAGTCTGGGTGACGGAGTGAGACTCCTACTAAAAAAAAAAAAAAAAAATTACACTTTCAGTAGCCCCCACTGGTCTTCAAGTAAGAGTTAGCAACCCTGAAGAGGCCCCTATCTAGGTTCTTGGTCATTTCTGGGTAGGTTTCTAGGTGTGAGGATCCCAGAATGGGAAGAAGAGGCAGGTATGTGTGTTGGGGGGGAGTGAGTCTATATTTTGTGCCACTCATGAGATGCCCGAGTATCCAGGCTCTGGGGACATCAGTCCTAGACATCCATTGGTGGTTTCTGTGACCATCTAATGACCTGAAGCCAACTCTATCCCGTGTGATGGTGTTTGCATTGCAGATATTGCTCTAGTGTGTGGAAAGCACAGAGATGTTCCCTTTAAGGACAGAGTTGTTTGGGGTCTCACTTCTACTTCCCCGGGTCTTTTTCCTTGATTTCTTAACTCTGGGCTGGATGGGCAATCGTGGCCCCGTAAGGGAAGGAAAACGCATGACTGAATCCTAGCACAAAAAGGAAGACAACCTGTCATTCCTGCTTTCAAAATATTCCCCTTTGGGTGTGATGGTAAAACAAGAGCAGTGCAGTCTCAGTAAGTGACCTTGGATGTGCCACTGAGGGGGTCTTGGAGGTGTAGCGGGGTTATACAGTGGTCTGGAGAAGCAGAGTGACCAGATATTTCAGAGAGTACCCTTCCCAAGCACCTTGTGTCACCTAAACTGTCACCCCTTATCATTCTTGACTCCTGTTCCCTCTATTTCTCCTCCCAGTTCCCACTGGACCTAACATATCATGTATTTGTTTGTTCACTGCTGTATCTCTGACACTTAGATCGGTAATTGGCTCGTACCCAACGCGTTTTTTTGTTTTTTGTTTTTGTTTTTGATCCCAGCACTTTGGGGAGGCCAAGGTGGGAGGATTGTTTGAGCCAAGCCGTCTGAGGCCAGCCTGGGCAAGATAGTGAGAACTTGTCTCTAAAAAAAAAAAAAAAAAAAAAAAAGAACAAAAGAATAAAAGACTCTGATTCCCACACACATAACTACTGTGTCAGGAAGGGGAGACTTTTTAGATCTCCGGCAAAATCTGTATTTATTATAAAGACAACAGTAGAAGAAATTCACTTTCCCTGCCATTTGGGTATTTACCAGATCTTTCTGCTTATACAAAGGGAGTCTCACTTGGTTGAGTCCTGCTGTAAGTCTCACTAATGACCCAAGAAACAGACCTTTCCATGTGTCCTGCTCATTAAGGCCAAACCATCAGACCCCACACAGCCCCCTGCCTTCCCAGTGGGGTTGAGACAAGTTTCTCTTCAGCCCACTCTAATGAAACCTGTCACCAGCATTTACCTTGCTAAGGGTTCCTTTCTCCTCCCACCCTCACCCAAGAATGGAAGAGAGGGAAAGCGGGTGCCTGGCTTCAGGTCTGTGGCCACTCAAGGGGTGGCCCACACCTGTCTACCAGGAAAGAGAGCATCCTGAGGGGGTGGGTGTGTGCATGTACGTGGGAGGTGGGGTTGTTCAAATTCAGGTACCCCATATCCGGAAGACAGAGAAAGAAGCCACCGTACATACTAGATCCTTTTTTTTGAGTCAGAGTCTCACTCACAGCCACCCCAGCCTTGACCTGCTGGGCTCAGGTGTTCCTTCCGCTTCAGCCTTCCAAGTAGCTGGGATTATAGGTGTGAACCACCGCACCCGGCTTTTTTTTTTTTCTTTTTCGACAATTTTTTAAAAAGTAGTACTTCTTTTAATAAAATTTAAAATTTGCCATGTAATTTTACATATCTTTGATTCTTTGAGGATTTACAGTTTTGATGACCATATCTCATTCATGGTACTGGTAAAGATAATTATTGGCAATTTTTTTTTTTTTTTTTGCGTTGGAGT